GGATGGGAGAAGTAAGATCCCAAAAGCAATGCCAGAAAAAGGATTTATCAGCAAAGAAAAAGACATCTTGGAGGTCAGGAAGTGAAGGAATAATGTGAGAATTGTCAACAAAAAAAAAAATCAGGCCCAGTTGGATCTTGCAAGGGAAACTAAAACAAATAGTTCAATATTCCTCAGTCATCTAACTAAATAACAAAGGGAAAGAAGCCATGAAGCAGTGATGATATAATGATGAGGCCAAGATAAAAACAATTTAGGCATGGTTCAAGAACTTGTCTGAGTTTCCAAAAAGGAAAATGTTATCGAAAAAAGGGGCAAAGACAGTGTGGCTAATAGGAATGAGATACTGAAAAAGAAATTACTCCATCAGAGACTGAAGCAAAACTCAAAAGAGCTTAATGCACTCGGGACAACATCCATCTTTGAATAATGAAAGATCTGGAATATGAAACTAAAGTTTCTCAGCAAGGAGTTTTAACAAATCTGTAATACATGTGGTACCACGTGACTGGGAATAGCAAAACCTGCACATATCTAAACCAGAAAAAAGTGGTCCAGGCACCATATAACCTCAATGGTGCTGTGTTTTAGAACACAGAGAAAATTATTAAAGATGACAATTATTTTATTTTAGAAAATAAGATAGAAGTTTACAAAAGGCAGACTTATCTCCTATGTTTCATTGATTAGTGATTTTCCAGACAATACAAATGCAGAAAATGGAAATCTGAATCACTAAGGCATACCTAAGTGGTATGGTGTCACATGGGAAATTAGAAGGAGATCGTAAGGCGAGTAAGAAATTAGCTACAGACAGTAATGGGTTGTGCTAAAAGGTAGTGGGGAGCGGTGTTACTACAGAAGATCCCCAAGCAGTGTTGGAACCAATCTCCTTTAACATTTTCGTTAACAAAGTGAGCACACAAGGTAGGAACATGCCAATGAAATCAGATGAAGAGAAAATTTGGAGGCAAAGATCAAAATAAACTATAGAAGGAACTGGTTGAGCTTGAGGACTGGAATAATAGAAAGGGGATGAAATCTAATAGCACAAAATGCAGTCTCATTACTTAGGGGCTAACAATAACAATTTCCACTATAAGTGGCATTAATGCTTATCAGTCGGGAAAAAGAGGAGGAGGAGAAAATAAAGGAACAGGCTGTAATCAGTCAATAACAGAATGATTATGCACATAAACAATGTGTTATGGCCATCAAAGAGGTAAATGCAGGCCAATGATATATTGGCAAAGACATTTCCAGTTGAAGCATTAATGCCACTGTAGAAGGCATTTATCTAGATTACTGGGTACAATTGTGGTTCCCCAAGTTTGAGAGAGAAACTGAAACAGAAACATGTGCAGAGCGAGTTTACAAAGATGATAAAGAAAAGGGAGGGTCTATTTGACAAGAGAAGACTAAAGGCACATGTCCACTGTGATAGCACTGAGCTGAAAATGCAATGCCCCTGACCACATCCCACCCACTCACTGCTGCTGCTATGTTCCAGACGCAAAGAGCACCTGTGTGTCTGCTCAGGGGGATTCTTCTGTGCCAGCTCTCAAGACCTTGGTTTCTGGTGTGCTTGAGAGCAGCCACTGAGAAAGACAGCAAAGCATTCTTGCTAGCATACTTTGAGATTTGACTGTGGCACTAGTGAGCAGAATGGGGGTGCTTGGGGCCATTCTGGCTTTAGTGTACTGCCACCATGGTGTAAACAAGCTTTGTGAGAGAGCTTGATTCATTTAGCTCAGTAAAATGAAAGATGACCAAGGATATGATTGCTCTCTGCAAAAAGATTAAGAGAATAAACACCAGGGAGGATACCTTCCTAAGCTAAAATACAACGCCAGCACATAAACAAATTGGTATAAATTACCAATGTATAATTTTAGGCTAGAAATTGGTTTCTAACCACAACAGTGAGGGTTGGGAAAAGCCATCCAACCTAAGTGGTGGAGGCATAAATACTAAATAGCTTTAAAAAGCTTGATCAGTTTATGAACAGCTTTATGTGAAATGATTGCTTATAATAAGGAAAATGCATTCTAATCTAGAGGGTGCTGTCCAGTTTTATATTATTGAACATCAATATTAATCATCCAGTTTTATGTTATTGAACATTAATACATTAGTCAACATCTATTGGGTTGGCTCCTTTTAAGCTAATATTTGCAGTGACTGTCTGGT